AAAAGTATAAATTTGGTGATGTAGACCACGTGTGCTACCACGTAATGCTGTTTATTAATTTCGCGACATTGTGAACATAAAATAATTAAATATTTAAATCCGAGTAATAAACTTTCCTTATCAAATAGAGCTATAAGCTAGAAATTATCACTAATTTTATCTTTAAAATAAATGAAAAACACAATTGTTTATAGGTAAATTTAAAGCAATGAATAACGCTTAACCAATCAGATAATTCACTCATTTCGTACTTCTCTCATCCCGCTTGAACAGTTCGTCGTAGAATGTTCTAACGGTGACAGTGACTTTCCTCGTACTTCAAACTATCTGTATGCCAGTTTTCATTGCTTTCAGTTGGATGTTTTTTAGGAACCTATAAAGAACACCCATAGAATGGGAAAAGCTTCTTAGGAAGGTCCAGGCTCACAAAGGGCTGTCGTGCCAAATCTGATGATGATGATAAAGGGCACCCATACCCACACACGGACATTCATTTTTAGATATATAGATTAGGCAGTGGTAAATAAAGTAAAACAAAGAATTATAAGTCTCACCTTCTAACAAATTGGGAATAAAATAATTCGATACATGTGTTCTTTTTTTCTTCAGAAAATGTCCCTTACCTTGTTCTTCCACTAAGTTTTTCCATTAATATAGCTACAATTATCTCAATTTTTTTAATTTAATGTTATATGCTCTAATCTTTGGTGGCTTTATGTTATTGAAGTAAGAAAAGCTTAAAATAATTCATGCCATTGGAATAAAATTAAAATGTATTTAACATCTCTTGGCATGATGCTATTGCTCTCGGCCGATTTGTAATTGTTGAAATTTACCACTATTAAGTGAAAGTGATTTTCTCAGGTACATATCCCTTTCGAGTTGCCGTAAAGCACTTAATTCCAAAGAATAGATATTAAAACTGATTGGTGCAGTTTTAAAAATCACCAAATAAATCAATATAATATTTTATACCTAAATAAGCATATTTGTTACTTATTACATAATCCTTCAACACTTGAGTTTATGCATATTTGTCAGTGGCAGCCAACTAAAGCCAAATTTTTAAAAATTAATATATTAGAACTTCATAAGGATTTTGGAGCATGACCATTTCTCTATCTGACCTTTAATTTACTGTTGAAATGTATATAAGTAGAGGTGGAAAAAATTTCTTTTAATTCTAATTCTTTAAAATATTCATACACTATCTTAGCTACCACTAGGAAAAAATATCTTCTGAAACTACGGAAAACCCGTTGTTGAATTCTTATCAAAACCAATTCGCTAATTACCATGATACCAGTAGTACATATTACCGTCAGTGATACATATAAATTAAATATAATCTGTGAATGACAATTTTTTACGTTTTTCTTAACCGAATTTCAAATCAATCTTTCTTCCATGAGCTTGGCAGTTTAGTACATAGCTTATTTTATTTTATATCGATTAATACACATTATCAATATTAATTGAGCATTTGCGTCAATAATAATATGCAGATTTTACAGTTACCCAAAACGCGAATAAGTATCTTTTCTACTTATTTTTGCTCTTTAGTTCAGAAGTTACTTTTTAATTTCAATTAATGCATATTACCAGCATTAATTAGGCATCATTGTCGTCAATGATAGTATGATGCTTTCTTAGGTTCTTCTAGGCAAATAAAAACCTTTACTCCATTTCTTTTGCTTACTAGTATATTGGTTATTATTTTATTTCAATATGCATATATTACCTTTCTTAATTAAGCATAATTGGCGTAATTAAGCCTCATTGGGGCTAAATTCTCCTAAAAGAATAAGTACCACTTTCCCATTAATTGTTTCTTTTGATTACATAAATATTTTGCTTCTATTCCATTACCGCTGGTTTCAAATAAGTAATTTTTTAGAAACGAGATTAAAAGAATTAATATAAATAAAATAAAAGCACGTGGTATCAGACAAAAATATAAATTTGGTGGCGTAGACCTCGCGTGCTACCACGTAATGTTCATTTAATTTATCTGACATGGCGAATATTAAATAATTAAATATTTAAATTCGCGCATTACACTATTTTTTGATCAAACAGAGCTATATGCTAGCAATTGTCACTAATGTATCTTCAAAAATATGTGAAAATTGATTCATTAATTTTAAAACAATGCCTAACTTTTAACTAATCTGAAAATTCAATTTCGTTTTTCACTAATCCTGTTAGAACTATCTGTCGTAGAATGCTCTAATATTGACAGTGACCTTCCTCGTGCTTGAAACTATCTGTATGTCAAGTTTCATTGCTCTCGGTGGGATGGTTTAAGAGTCTATAAGGGACAAACCCACATGCACACACACAGACATTCATTTTTATATAGATAGATAATTTGCTTACGAAATAATTAAATTTAGTTTCCAAATTTTTTATTAGAAAATATAGACATTTTGTGGAGAAATATTGATGAATGCGAAGCAATAATTGGATCGGTAAGCAAAGAAAACAGAGACTTGAAGTCTCCAATTATAACATCTTATCATAATGGTTCATAGCTATTATACATTGTTGTCGGCACGTTATTATTAATCAGAAAATCGGATTGTATGCTTACTTAATTAATAAAAAAAATCCGATATTATTTTTATTTTTTTATTTTCATCAGCGTAAAATATATTTAGGCTATATTGGCCAGCTTAAGTCAGTAAACATAAGTTATAACGGCATTTTAGTCATGAAGTACTATTTATTTAATCGTTATTTAATTCTATTTCGCTGAAGTATCAGTTTATCATCCTCTTTCAGTGTTAATCTTCCTCATTATTACGTTATCATTATCGTTTTCAGCGCAATCATTATTGCATACGAAAGTTTACAAACAATGTAAGACTAATCTACCAGCATGTATAACACCACCTTCAAGAGTGTTTACTCGAGTTGTATAATCCACCAGCATGTATTTCACCACCTTCAGGAGTGTTGGATGAAGGTGATTCACTACATCAGGAATGTTCTTTTACACTATATGGTACAAAACATCCTCTACAGGTTTCGTTTTTCAGATAACTATAAAATTTAAAATTACTGTAAGATAAGATACACGCAAGACTCAAGAAAGTTACTTTTATGCAATATAGAAAGTTTATTTTTAATTGTTTAAAGGTATAAAGAAAGCAATGTTCGTAAGATCTTCCAGGCGGAAGACGGCTCAGTAATCTTTGTTATGGAGACTGCTCTCTGCTGTCGCCCCAGCTTCGACCATCGAAAGCAGCCGGATTGGTACAGCCACCGTGTGGACCCAGGATTCGGCGCTTGAGTGTTCCCAGATCTATTTAGTCCATCGAAATAATGTGTGGCGCATTATTCGTGCGTGACTCAGAGCCTTGTGCAGACGATTCAGCTTTGCTTGGTCTATTGTGTTGTGCTATTATGTTGTTACTGGTGCTGTGGCGTATTTAACACTGGGCAAATAAGCATTATCGTCAATGGATAATCAATTTGAAATAAAGTATTCCTTAACGCAATCTTTTGGATTGTTCAACTTCAAACTTGAAGGGATACTACACAACAGTTTTTTCAATGTATAATTACATCTTTAGTGAAAGAAAACTTTCTGAAATAATTAAAAACTCTTATGAATCGCTGAAAAAGCTTTATGCAACTGATGTTTCAACAGTTTTGAAAATGATGGAGTCAAAACTATTTATATCAGTTACAACAAAAGGTAAACGGAAAAAAAGCTCAATGCAACTTATCAGTACGCAGCTATATTTCATAATCAGAAAGATAACATTCTTTCTCTTTAATAAAAGACCGGATGCTAACTTCAAATGATAACTCAAAACCAACGCAAAAAAACGTAAATTTACTAAAATAGAAGAATAGCTTCGGTTCTATAGACAAGAAACTTCCTCAGTATCTACACACCAAGAGCAATGTCCAAAACTTTTTAATACTAAGGAAGGTTCTTAGCTTATTGAACCAAAATTAGAGAATCCCCATTTCCGTACCTTTATTTACACTTTCTTCACGTTGTTATTTGCTTTATTCTACGCAGCACAAAGTGCATCCTAAATTCCTGATAAATTCGAGTAATTGGAATGGTGATACAAGAAAGCCTATTGTTCTACTAATTCATTTACCTGCTAAACATCGAACTGTTATAGGAACAACAAATTGTATATGCTTGTTATTATTTTATTTGTTTTCTCACAAAGATATGTTTAAACGCTCCCTAGTTTATTTTAAAACTACTTCAAAGTTTCTAGTATGGATGTTAACTGGTTTCAAAATTTCCAGTATGCTTGGAAACTGGTATTGAAATTTCCAGTACAATTTAGTACTAGTTTTGAACTTTTCAGTACATTTTGACGCTAATATCAAAATGTATAGTATGGTTTTAAAATTTCCAGCATGGTGCAATAATGGTTTTGAAATTCCCAGTATGAGGTTATTTTCGTTTTAAAATTTCTAATTAAATTATACTGGTAATGTATCATTTTCGCTGATTTTCATTATTTGTATTTGGAATTTTTTCCAACAGGAGATAATTACTTTAAATTCCTTGGAAAGTTTCAAAGACCCTGACTATTAACGATTTTTATTTTATTTTCTTTAACTACAGATGTCATTGCTAATGATATTTTTATTTATGTTTCAACTGTTTTTTTTGTCATTCAATTGGTCATTTATCATTTTATTGGTATCATATCATTTTATTGATGTTATTCTTAATTGTTTTATTCTCTGTTACTGCGTGTAATTAAGCAAAAAGCATCTCGTTAAAACAATAAATCTTTTATGTAAACTTCAATCATTTACTTTGCATTTTTCATCATTAATTGTATATAGTGAATCGTAGTATTTTAATTTTATTGATGTCATTCTTAATTTTTTTCTTAGCTGTTTACTACGTGTTTAGAATTGAGCAAAACACATCTCATTAAAACAATAAATCATCTATTTAAACTTCAATCCATTTATTTTGCGTTTTTCATCATTAATTATATTTAATGAATCGTAACATTTTAATCGGTTTACTAGGCACATCGTCATAAATAAAAGGGATTGCGGCATTATATTCCAATGAAAACTTTAAATTTCATAAAAATGAAAGGAATATTATTCTTGCTCTTCATATTATGCGTTAAAGAACGGGTGAGTACTTATCAAATAATTTTAACTCTTATAACTACATATTTTGTGCCATTTGAAAATAAATGCTCAGATTTTGAAACGTGTTTTCGAGATGCTGGTTTAACATACGTTGATTGACGAAATGAAAATAAATACATATATGTAGGGACGCATTTATCATCATGCAAAATAGTTTAGATATCGACATATCTAAAAGTAATAAAATTAAAAATAAAAAAATGCCATTTGACGATTTCCACACACCCATGAAAAATGGGTCTTTTTGCCAGAACGAAACAGAAATGAATACCTCAGTATGATGTGTTATTACCTTGCACACTAATGCACATTTTATGAGCTGTTATTCATGCTGCCCACTAAAATAACGAAGAGTGTTTGGAGGATATTGATCCACTGCTCTTTCAAGGTTGTTTTCAGATCTTGTAAGGTTTGGAAACGGTATGTTCTTTGTGAAACACGTCTTCCAAGGGCATACTCTAGAGTATTTAGCATTCCACCGCTCTTTTTTAATCGTTAGACGACATTTTTCGACAATCCCGATACTGTAGCCACAATGAAGACACTTTAACCTGTTTACAGACGTTCAACTGCTCCTCCACGATCGTAGAATCTGAAAGGATGTCTTGCTGATTTTTTGCATTATTGCAATACTACCTTCACAGAAATAAGTTCAACAACCAACGGCGCTATATTAGTTAATCATCTAACAGCATGAGTTTTCAAATGAATGAAGAGGTCGTATACAATGTCCTTTATATAGTGCTGTTTTTAGGAGAACTCCTCCAGACATCAGTCTCGCGTCGTGGCTGGTGCCATGGTTAGGAGGAAAGGTCACTTTAATAGGGGTGTAGGGTGAATAGTTTTACCTTGATCTTTGCATAGTTCAGCATAAGTAAACCAATGGACACCTTTATTTCGCCATTGCACCGAAACTAGAAATGTGTTCTGGCTTGTTACCATAGAAGTAGACAGTCCCAGACTTTTAGTCTGGAGGAGTTCTTCTCAAAGCTGCACGATACGGATAACGGGTCCTGCTCGATCACACCCTCTACGCTTGATTTTACGGTTATTGGTGGGGTGTTGTGAACGATACTTTGCAAAATCAGTTGTTCCTTAACAGTTGTTAAGCAGGGTAGAAAACATAACAGCTAAGCGTAACAAGAAGAAATTAAGCGCATAAAAAATATAAATTACTCTAAGTGAAAATTTGAGAAGTCGAACAGATCCATGGTTAGCAACTAGCAAGAAAATGCGTTAACTTCTTATGTATGAAGTACAAAGAGCCAAGAAAAGGTGTAATCCTTAATAAATTTTTTATTCGAAAGATCGACTGGTCACGTATTATAAATCAATCTCAATCAAATACAAGTAGATTTCAAGTTAACTATTTAATTCATGCTAATTATTCAAAATAAGATGCAAAAACTTGCTTTCTTTGCATAAATACACTTTTCGTTTGATCGATTTGAACTTTGAGCAAATAGCCTTTATCCGGAAAGTATAGTAATTAAAAATTTAGTTAGGACCTGTTAATGTTATTTTCACATTCTAAGTGTTTCGCTTTATCTCAGGAATTCTAAATATGATGGCTCGAGAAAATAATGGATAAAAAAAATTTTTTACACTCAAGTATAATTTTTTTATCTTAATTTAAATTTAAGTAAAATAAATTTTCATACAATCATTAGTCATTTATTATTCTTTTGAAAAATTTTAGAATCTTAAGGTATGCAAATTTTTACTTCATTTTAAACTGTGCAATTTAATATGAGAAATTCAAAACAAAATCTGTTTAATAGTTTTTGAGAAATAAAAATTTGAAAATATGGCTTTTTTTTTTAAATTCTATTAAAGAAACTATTCGACCGATATGCTCAAATTTTAAATTTTATCATTCATTGATATAAATTCCAAAATAGTGTAAAATGTGCAGAAATTAAATTTCAATGTTTGTTGTGTGAACTATTCTCGATAAACGAATATAGTTGAATGCATTATAAACCAACAATATTCGGTTCACTTGAAATATTCTCGAGAAGAGGGTAAAATATACGCTAATTATAAAATTAAAAATTTTCTTTTTATTTTTGAACAATAATTTATGCAGAAGAGAGGACTTCAAACTTTTAATCACTCTTCTAATTTAACTAATGATATTATATTTTCCGATTGGCTGATACACATTTCCCCCTCATATTTCGATTATACCATTGAATAAAATCAGTCAAAACAAAGGTAAGTTTATTCAGAGATAGTTATTTTTTAAGTCAGATATCATAACTTATTAATATTTAGAGTTTATTGATTAACGAATTTCAGGTTAGCCGTTTGAAACATTAAAATTGTGAAAATGCAATCTTTAGAACAAAATTTGGATTATTAGGGATATTTTTTGTCACCGTACAAACATTTAATAAGCATAAAAATAACCACTAAAGGATAAAATTATTTTATTATCACATCTTAAAAATCTGACATTACTATTAAGGTGCTTAAGAAATATTTCCTACAAGCATTGTTTCTAAGTTATATTTGCTTAAGAATTAATCATTTTAATATTTGGACAAATGCAAATTATATATAATCCTTACGTTAAAAAACTGAAATGCAATTACAAATAATTCTTCCCTCTAAAATCAGATTTAACAATAACTATTCCTTAAAAAACATAATTAACATAATTAATAAAACATAATTAAAAAAACTCACATTCGTATTTATACATGGTTATACACGAATTCGTACTCAAAACGTGCTATTTTATTGTTTTTTTCCCATATTTATTTATACATGTTTCTATAAATAGATGATGACGGTCAATGCGAAATGTCCAAAAAACAATCAATGTGGAAAAGGTCAAGCTTGTGTTCAAGCAGAGGCGTTCTCAGGAATGAATTGCAAACCATATACAGAAGAAGGTAATGTTATACACGACTGGACTGAAAACATCAAAATTATTTAATTGCCTGAAATTTGGAGGTATTTTGAATAAACGCCTTCCTACTCATCTCAGTTTTCTTCTGCAATTAAAGAGGTTCACGTTTTTAATCTCTCCTCAGAAATGATGAGTTAGATTTCGATAGCTAAAATTTTAATTTGAGACATCAAATGTGATAAATTTTCTGTTTGCCATACGCAAGAGAAAAGTCGCCAAAAGATGTAGATGCTGATTTTTTTTTTCGTTGATTTTTGTAACCATTTTTTTATTTCATTTATTTATAAGCACAAAACAAAGTGGACCTCCACTAAAAATTAAATAAAATAAAAAAAAAGTTTAATTTTTTAAAGAAAATTTAAGTATGCTGAAGAACCCATCAGTTTTGAAAGTCGCTAGGTTATTTACCATGTACCTTGCCAGAAATACCTTGGTTGCATCGAACGAACCAGACGCGCTTTCAAATTTAGACTTAACACGATAAATATGTCCGTTATCGAAAATACGATAAATCATCTATTGCTGCACAGTGTTAGAATCTTGGTTATAAATTCGTTTTTACAGTGGTAAAATTGTTTCCAACCCAGTCACATCAGCTCATATTGATGCCTTGAAATATTGTTTCATTAAATATAAATATGCTGATTCTTTTTTTAGCGTACGTCTCCAATTGGGTATAATATAAAAAAAAACACAACTACTTCCACTTGGTAGGAATAACATTTACCATGACGCAATGCTAAATTCTATGCCACTATCCACATAAATGCCACTATCCACTTAAATCAATTATTAATCAAAATCGAATATCAATTACTTTTCTTTATAATGCAATAAAATCTGGCGAGCAGCTATTTAAACGATCAAACACTTCGTTTGTTTATTTGTGGCTTGAAGTTAGGCTCGCAGAAAATGCCGTTCATGGGTTAAATTTAGTAGAAATAACACAACCTGTGACGTAGGCTAAAGTATACCCAATTGCCCATAACACGAGCAAATGCATTTTGTCTTGATTCGCCTGAATGATAGTGATTTTTCTTGTGCTGACTTCATCTTGATTTTTTTAGTTAGTTTTTTTTTCTTTTTTGTTTTACTTTTAGCAACTGCAGTTTTCTAGTTTGTTTTTTTTCCCTCACCATTATTTTCAATTTTTCGTTGCCAACTTTACGTTTCATATTTCAAATAATTTTTGTCTCTAGCCGTCTCTTGTAATTGGGCACATATTTCTGAACGTTTGAAACTTGTCAAATTTTATTTTCATCTTCATAATTTTGAAGCCAATGATTTTTTTTTAATAAAGCAAAGAATTAATACGTTAAAAATTAAACTTTGGTACCACTAGAAGAAATTTTCTCAAAAAGCATAGAAAGTTGATATGGAAAGTTGAAAATGGATTCAACAACAAGGTCAAATTTCACATGATTTATTGTCTAACTTATTTATATTCAAAGTTCATACAGATGGAATATTGAGAGCTTATCTTCTAAACGTCTTGTCGCATATTACCCATCAAATTTAAAACAGGGGAACATGATAGTTAGTCCATCAAAGAATTTTCACGTAAGTGGTATTCTACAAAATGTTGTTAAAATTATGATTTTCAAGAGTCTTAGAACTCAGTCCTTTGATTAAATGGTTAATGTAATACCATTTAATTTACAGCTTAAAACCTCTGTACTAAATGTTAAACTACGCTCATTTTTCCGTTTAGTGGATTATATTTTTAATAATTATAAGCCTTAGAATCCATTTTGAATACTGATTTGTGCACAATAACTAATTTTAACGCACTTTTCTTAATTTTTCATAATGTTGGCAGATATGTTAATGCTCCCACTAAATTCTGAACATAATATGTATTTAATCATACATTTCCAATTTTATGTAGCTCATACTTAATTATGCGATTCTAAATTATTTGACTAAACTTCAAGTATACGTTTTATGGCTACATTTGTATAAAATAAATTATCGAAACTAGGCACATAAATATACTTTTACAAAAGGTATCCTTTAACATTCTACGTTACTTATTCTGTCCATTATGTCTGCCCATTTGTGTAAAAAATAAAGATCAGTTCTAATAGTTATAATTTCATAATTAATTCATGAACTCATTACAGGAAGGATGTGTTCAGTTGGAGATGCTAAAGATAATGATGGCATAGTTTACCACTCTTATCCTCCATGTAATCCTCATCAAAATCTTAAATGTACCCATAGAAATGGCAGGGTAAGTGGATATTCCATGGAATATATTTTATGATTATTACCTTAACATTCTGTGTCTTTCACCATATCTCGAGAAAAATTTAAGTAAGTAGAAAATTTTTTGCACACAATTATAACATTTGCTAAGTTAAAAATTATTCCATGCAAAAATTAATTTTAGTGTGTGTTTTTTATTACTTTATTTAATTATTGTCAGTCATCTTAAAGAATGCGATTTTAAATGGCAAAATACAAAATTTGAGCGAAATCGATCAAATCGTTTCTGCAAAATCGAATTTTAAAGAAGAAATATTATTAAAATTCGATTTCACAGAAAATATTTGACCAATTGCGATCAAATTTTGTACTGTGCCTTGGGAAATTATATCCTTTAAAATGGTGTAAAAAAATGTATACCTTACAGCTCAAAATATTTTCGACTATTATTAAATAAAATATTTAATATTTAGTAATTATTTTTTCAGAAATTATCTTTGGATAACCGAATTTTTAAATTATGCAAACGAAGTTTTTATTCCGCTCAAAAAGTTCTCAAGTTATAGTGAAATGCAGAAAAGGTAAAATTATATTTGGGGTGCTCTCCCAAGCAAACTATTGGGGCCATATTTCCAAAATTGTGGTTACCCCCTATGTTTTGAAAGTTTTAAATCCGAATACGTCGGAAAAACGATATGTTTATTCAGAGTAAGTACATTTTTGTGTCTGATTTTTGTAACCAAAAATATTGTCCTCACTTATTAATTAGCATATATGAGATTTAATCCATAAATCATTAAGTACTGGAACGTGAAGATCCGAAAATTAGATCAAAAGTTATTTAGGGTGAAACGTTTATTTCTTGCACACCCCACATATGATGATTATTTTTTATACTGCTCACTAGTATGTAAGCACCGAAATATATATCTTTTGTGGTTTATTGTCAGCACGAGTAGATTTTGAGGATCAGAGCCGAAAGAAAAAGTCTTATTTCAAAGATTTTTAAATGACCTTTGTCTTTCAATGCCCACTGAAAGTATTTATGTCTTAATAGTTTTTATAGATGTAGAAGAACTCAAAAATTATTCAGTATTGTGGTTTAATCATTTCACTCCATAACTGTGGGTAAATCGATGCATTTTCATCAAAATCTATAAATTTGACACCCCAAAAATCTCCGATAGAAATTGTCGCCAAATTACAAAAAAAATTTAAAGTTTTATCTTTCATTAAGAACATTTTCTGAAATTTTCAACGAAATTAAAAATGACAACAGCTTCAACCTGCCTGAAGGACAATTACTCAGCTATTAGTATGTAAAACTCAATATTTATTCTTGGTTCTTACAATATTTAGTATTTTACAATGCAAAGATTTTTGATATTTTGTTTCTCTTTACTTATTAGTTCTTTTTGCTTTTAGACAGCCTGTTACCCTACGAAGAAAGGATAATGATTATCTCTTCACTACCAGAACATCATTAATAAAAATGCATAAAAAAATCACTGTTTTTTTTTTGTTTTTTGTTTCATTTATAAAATGTATATTCATTCTAAAAGCTTGTTTTAAAAAAATATTTTCTCGAGTTCGATAATTGCCAAGTCGAAAGTAGGCAAATAGTAAACAAAGTTAAATGCATCAAACGTACAATTTTATTCTGCCTCAGGCCCACGAACCTGATATTACTCTGTGGTTGATAAAAAATATTTAATCCTTGGTTTCTCTTCAAGCTCGATCAAATATTGATCGAGCTTGATATTGATCAAATATTGATATTGCTCGATAAAATTGATGGGGTAGTAGTTTGGAAGCTAAATAAATTTCATGATTTAACTTCCACTTTTTTTCATTCATAAAATGCAAAATAATTTTTTCAATCTACTTTCTTTTAATTTTCTTTAAATTTATCATAAAATAATGCATTGTTTGCATATCAATTCTATACGTTAAATAGGCATAATCTCAAAAATTGTACTTTTTATGCTTGAAATATTTATAAATACCGTAAACTCTACATTATTAAGCCTATTGACGCGATTTTGGTTCCATTTAGTTTGAAATATGCTTGAAATATTGATGAATCTTGCAAACTTTACATTATCTGTAGCTAATCTACGCAATTTTAATCTAGTTCTGCGGATCTCTAGTTCTATGTTGGATTGTGCTCTCTAGTTTTATTCTCTAGTTCAATGTTGGAATGTTCTTGAAATATTAATAAATCCTGCAAACTCTACATTATTAAGCCTATCGACACGATTTTGGTCTAATTCAATTTAGCGTATTAAAATACATTGGGTTCAATACTTCTCTTGTCTATATAGCAACGTCAGAGGCGTAGGCTTAAGTACAAAACTGTGCTTTTGAACTAAAAACATTTTTAACAACTTTTGCACTATTAGTTCTATCGATTATGTTTTGGACGCATTCGATTCAACGTAAATGGGTAGAAACAATACCTAACTTGTTTAAAAGGGGACCAAGTTTACCTTTCTTTGGTATGCCTTTCAAAATGGGTGAGTTACAAGGTTAGATACATACTTTTACTATTTATAGCAATTCGTGCAAAATGCGCTGCACTTCACAGATTCCTTACTATCTATGTTGAGAAATCACGATACAGGTTTTAAAAAAATTTCTTTTGACAAAAATCATTATCTGCATCCTAAGATTTGTTTGCTAACAAGTTCGGAAAGTTGTAAAATAATTAAAAATATCGTAAAATCATGCCATGTTTAATTGGGAATGAACTGAATAATTAAATTGCATCAATTTTGTTTACCTGCATTTTAAATTCATTAAGCATTTAACATCACATGGAATTATCAACTGTGTTTAAAATTAAGCACAGGGAAGACAATTCTTTGTTGTTTAACAAATAAGCTTAATTTTAAGTGCAAAATTTCGGAGCATTTAGAATCATAAAATTTTTAAAAATTTGCAACCTTTTTCGTAACCTTAATATAATGCTAACTATAGCCATATTATTGTATTTCTTAAACTTTATTACATGATCATAAGGTTTACCCTGACAGAATACATATATTAACTTAAATCCTAATTAAGATTGCACATGCACAGTAGATATACAGATTGTAGTAGACACATAGCTTAGTTATATGTGTTAGAGCATTTCAATGCTTTGACTAAAAACCCAATAATTAAAAAGTATATACATAAGTCAAAGTATTAAAAAAAATTATATTTCTAGTTACAGTACTAAACCAATGAAATGAGGTAGTTTGACACAGGGTGATACCATCTCAACAATATAGGTACACTAATATTAGTACCATTGATAGCTTTCTTCAGAAATTATGTCAAAGCAGGTCGTATGCATGCGATCAAGGATAGATTCAAGGAATTAATAATACATTTGACAAACAGTCTGAAAAGGAAGAATTTAATTCAAATGTAATTTAAATGACACTTAAGTTATTCTAATGAAATTTCAAAAATGACTCTAGCATGATATGATTCATAAAAATTCACTCAAAGAAACGTAATTATTAATCAAAAATGATTGACATTTCCTTAAGTTCGAGTTAAAATAATGCATTCAAATGATACAAGTAGTTTATCCAAAATGATAGAAATTCACTCAAATTAATGTAAAGCACTCGAATGATGATGAACGAAAGATTAAAACGATATCAATTCCCTCAAATTCGAGTTAAAACTATCCATTCAAGTAATACTTACAATCAAAAATTATTGAAATTCACTCAAGATCGAGTTAAATCGATTCATTCAAGCGATAATGATGGTCAATCAAAATTGACTGACATTCACTCAAATTCAAGTTAAAATTATGCACTCAAACTTGAGTTTTAGCAGTTGACTCGAGTGAATTTAACTCAAGATGAGAAGACTCATTTTTTCCAGACGAATGAATAAAATTTAACTCGTCCATTACAAGTGAGTAAAACTCTAAATAATTAAATTTATACTGCTGACACTCATTTCTAAGTTCTTTTTATCAAACGAAATACTAATTATTGTTTCAAACATTTAACTCGACTTTAAGAAGGACAATTTTCAATAACTTCATGAAAAATAATATTATTTTAAGATTATTCTGTCTTGTAATGGATTCCAACTAGTGGGGCATGAGTCTCACATGGTTCTGATAGTGTCAATTTGCTACATGCAGTAGAAAATATATGCATTATTATTATTAATAACAATAATATTGGAGAAAAAAAATTTGAAAATTCACATCGGTTTTACATACATTTTATTCACGAACTATTATGATTTTTTCAGTCTCCAGGAAAATTAACGCATCTACTTGTGTGCTATTTTCTCCCTTTCACTTAATCAAGTGGGAGAAAATTTTTTCATCTATTAGTAAAGGAAAGACTAATATAAAAATTATGTAAAAAAGACTTATACATCTGTAATATTTTGGCTGGAAATTACTTTTCGAAAATTATAATAGTGAAAATTATATGTTTTATTATTTAAATGAAATTTATCAACAACCACAATGGAAGCGGATTTGCAACTCCCTAGGCAGCAAAAGTCATGGTAGACATCCATTTTTTAGTAGTGACGAACATCCGTTGTTAGACATTTGTTGTATTTTAAAGAACATTTTTTAAATTTTCTGTCTAAACATTTTATTGGCCTTCATGTATAATTCCTTTCCCGATATGTAGTCCTTAAAGGATTCGTGTGAATTTTAAATACCGAGATACTTGCTATCAAAACAAAATTGCTTTTGTTTATAATTTATTTTATATAAAATGAAAAGCTTTAAACTCCACACTGCTTCTTTGAGTCTTGATTCATTTCTTGTTTTTCTTTTTCCATAATTTCTACGGTGAGAAATTCTGACAAGATCATAATTATTCCCACATCCCGAAATCCTGAGTATGAGTTTGCTTACGTTGCGGCTTACAAATAGATGGCGCTGATTTCGATTGTGGTCCTCGGACACTTATTGATTTGAAACCCTTGCTATATTAGTACTGAGAAAATCGTAAAACTTACCACGAAAGGCTTATCTTACAAAAATTATATTCAAGGATTTCATTGCCGACCGGCCTGTGTAGGGGGCAGGGAACTGTCCTTGCATCAGAAAGGTCCTGGATTCGAATCCCGGGCAAGGCATGGATGTTCCTTTCTCTCTCTCTGTGTGTTCTATGTCCTTTCTCCTTTTTGTGTTAATGTGATCCGCCCTATAAACGGGTTGTGGTTGTTTGTGAATGGCTTGGCAGAAGTCGAATTCATGGCCATTGATGGCTCCACTGAAAAACAGGAACAATCGCACCCCCACTGCCTAAACAGGCATAAGACAAAAAAAAAGACCAATAAAAAGGGTTTTATTTCTGAACAAAATAGAGTTTAGCGCTGAAATAAATATCGTCTGATAAATTTTCTGCACAATAAAAAGTACCGGTGCTTTTTTATCTTAAAATCCATTTTTACCGGAACATGTTACGGAACAAAAGATATGATATACTGTATTTTTTACTGTAATAATTACCGTAAAACTACTGAATCATTGCAATTAAATAAATACAACTGTAAAAATTGCGGTATAAAATTTTACAATAAAAATGGATTTTACGAATGATGCAACTCAAGTATCAATAGTTTGTACCGTAATTTGATCCGGAATTTTTTAGTATTGTATTCTATTTTATACATAATTGTTTTCTTTTTAAATAAAAATAAAAGAATTGTTTAAATCCAATCAATTTCAAAATGGAAAAATGCTAAAAAAATAACTAAAACCGAAATTGTCATAATTGAGCAATATAAATAAAAATGTGAGAATTTAAATACAAGTAAAACGAAATCTTAAGTTTGCATGTTTAGTTCGACAGAAGCCGACCAACAATAAAAAGGATCCAACATGTTGGCGAAGCGTTGCGTCTCCCGATGAAGTGCCATTTTTTGCTAACATGCATATCTTTAGATTTTGTCTTGTTGTATTTAAATTCTCACATTTCTGTTTAGAATTGTTAGAATGTAATATCAATTTTTGCATTTGTTACTTTAAATTGATGTTCAAAGGAAAAGTTTTTTGGAAAATATACTGATTCATCTATATATTCAAGAAATAGATTATTTTTAAAAAAGGTTTTTTAAGTTTGCTAGAGACTAAAACCATATTCTTAACACTTTGATTACGTTACTATTAGTAACCTCACTAAAAATCATTATAAGGAAGAAAAAAGACTTTTTCTACAAATTTTTATTTATCGACTCAGAGTAAACTTTTTTCAACATCCGAATCCATTTAATTTGTATAAATATGATTTCCGAAATGGTCCACACCTCTCGAAGTCCATTCTTTTTCAATCCTCTATGAGATTTGTCTCACTTTTTATCACACACATACTGTAAAAAAAGGATAGATTAAATATTATTTCTTAAAAGAAATTAAATATTTTTCGTAAAAACATAGAGTTTTCAAACTAATTAAAATCATGAACATCTTAACATTTTAATGCAAAGTTTTTCACGGCACAAAGTATGAGGAGCAGACAAAGGAAAACTAAATATCCACCACGAAGTACACTATAAAAGGGTCCGGATAAAATTACGAGAAAAATTATCGGAACTCTGAATGATTGCTTTTTATTGTAAAATCTATTTCTTTTCAAGGAGCAAAAATCTAATATATCGAGTAATTTTAACAGTAATAATAACCGTAAAATCACTGAATCACTCTAATTAAATATATATTAATGTAAAAATTACGGTATAATACTTCAAGGTAAAAATAAATTTTACGGGAAAAAAAAAGAATTTTACGGATGATGCAAAGAGCTGGTACTTTATACCGTAATTTGATTCAGAAATTAAAGTAATTCAGTGAGACAATGTGTGCGACAGTGTGTATTTTTATTCAAATATAATTACCCCAAAGAATAATACATTTATCCCAATGTGAAACGAATATTCCAGAATTATTATTCTAACGGAATGGACGTCTGCGAAATCTTTTCACATACACACACATCAGGTCACTAAAATATATATGGAGATATATTTTATAACAGTCGTTGAGCAGCCGACCCAATTTTCGGGTTTATGATTACTAAGGTTCAATTTCGTAACCTCGTAATTTTGGACTCAATCCAGAAGACACGGAACAACTGGATCAATTATTGGGAAAATTTTGCCTTCGTGGAGGACTTTTTGATGGAACAAACCCACATTTGCGTTGCATGGAGAGGAAGACCATGAGAACCTCCCATGGTTAGCCTGATGGCAAGGACAGTTTAACCTATGATTCGTCAACCACTGATGGTATCTCACGTCAGCACAGTGGTCGGTGCAAGTCGGATGCAGAATTTGTATCTGACCAGCCATCGCCGGGATTCGAACCTGATTCACCTCATTGGAAGGTGAACGTTCTGTCCCCTGAGCCATCGTGGCTCCTCACTAAAAATATAGAAGTCATAGAGAAAAATATATGGATTGAAAGAAGCGTATTGAAATATTTCCCACTGAAAACCACATTAGCAATATGAAAACGGGCATTATCACGCAAAATAATGATTGAGTCCAAAAACAATCCAGAGAATTCGTTGACTTGATTGCGCGTGGTGCGCATCTTTTGCGAAATATCTTAAATTTTTCTTGCATTCTTTTATTGAAGACGCAATGTCCGCCATATACAGCCGACATGCGATAATGAATTTCACGTGTGTCAATACTTGTCGTCACCAAAAAATAAACCACACTTATCTACTTTTTATTTGCCTCATTTTCAATGCTGTATGAAAACACTTTGACTTATAGTCATTTTCAGAGCCACACAGAAAAAATTGAGTAGATTTGTGTATTTTTATTATCCACTTAGAAAATTCAGCACCGATTTATTAAAAACAGTTTCGATACAACTATTGTATAGCCAACTTAGGCCAGCAATTTGTTTAAGGGCTAGATTTTTTTCCCCATTTGATTGCCCCTTATGTTTTTTGGTATGTAAATGAAAGTAATAAGTATTTTACGAATTAAAATAATTCAGTAAACTTATTTGCAATTTGCATACTTGTTTTTTTTTTGGTAATTAACATTTGTATTAAAAAAATTTAAATTATTTTCTAAATATTTTTAACACGTTAATAAATATTTTTATAATATTAATAATATGCATATGTGGTTGCATGTAAGAATAAAATTACGAAGCTTTGTCTGTTTGAACCTCGAGTAATTTCAAGACATATTTCATAAAATAGTAGATCCAGTATTTAAATAAGTCAAGCTAATAAAAGAAGCATAAAATAAAAACTTAAAAAAAAATTTATTATTATGATTATCGTTATTTATTTTTCTGAAAAAACACAAAAATTCAATATTTCTTTGTTATCTTGTATTTTTAATAAATTTAAACTAATGTTATGGTTTAGTCTTTATACTTTTACATGGTTTTATATTCAATAAAGTTTTAATTAAATGGTCAAAAAATAAAAGCTTACTTGAATGGAATTTATATGCATCTCTTCTGATTTGTATATTTTGTATTAATGTATTTCATTGTATTTGTATATAGCACTTACCCGTCCACTTCTTCTCCTGCATTCTAAATCTTTTTTCGGATCGCATGGAGGATACTGAAGCCAAACGTCATAAAAATCGATATCACGTTGATGACTAGTACATAGCATACCTGTAAATAGTATCACTATTGCTTCATATTGCAAGAAATATTATAAATATCATTATCCAAAAAAGATTCAAAGTGGATATTTCGATTACAGTAAAGGCTCTCAGTAAAGGCCAATCATAAAATATTAAGTAGTCAGCTAATTTTGAGAAAATTTAAAATGTAGTTATGAAATAACTTAATCAGACAAGTAACTACAAACAAATCTGAGGCATGAGATCTTGTTGTTTCTGTTGTTTCTAATGACACTTGCGTGAACCCAGTGACCAGTTATTGACTTTTTGCGAATGAAGTCAGGAAGATCCGCCTTTCATTTAACAAGAAAGCTTCGCAAAGGTGAAAGCCCATCTTAGCTGAGAACCCCATGTATAAATGGCAATTCCACTCATCCGTAAAACCATTTCCTCGAAGATCTGAAGGGGAAGTAAAAATTCTCCAGATCCCTGATGTTACTATTCAGACACCGAAAGCTAGATTTTCGATTCCACAGATTTTAAGAGCATGTATATCGCATATACTCGGTTGGTCTTAGTGGTGTCACAGATCGCACCTCGGCCATTCCAACCAGAGTCCGATTTTCTAACCAGTGAGCTAACACGACAATGACATGTGCCTTGTCTTACAGAAATCAAAATATGTCAAGAAAGTTTAAAGACAGAACTATAAGAAAATCTATGGAACTATAAAGGTAAACTGCGTGTAGAGGAAAAAATTCAATCATGATAAAGAAAATTTAATTGGTAGGAAAGATATCATGAGATTCATTGAAGCAAAAAGGATACAGTGGCTAGGATATATAGGAAAATTGAAGGAAACAGAGATGCTACAAAGGAGAACTTTAGAAAAGTAAATAGGTAGACCAATACTGAGATGAAAAGACCAAGTTGGGGAATAACTTAAAATTATGAAATTCAAGAGTCGGAGCAAAAGAGCCGGATCAAAACAGCAGATGAGAGAGTGTACTGGTAGAGAATACCAACGTCTACAAAGAAACTGTAAAGCTAGAAAGAAGAAGATGAAAGTTCTGCCCTTTGGTCACTAACTAAGCTGGTTATTTCCGTTAAGACACTCGAAAGTAATATCATAAGTGTAATTTGTAATCTCCATTATATTTAAATATGATCAATGACTTACTACTTCACTTTAGTTTTCGCAGCGTCTGATCACATATGACTACTTCAAATACTCTTAAATAATCCATTAGCACAAAAAAGTGGACAACTCTAAATAACATTTGATCTAATGATCAGATCTTCACGTTCTGGGACTCAGACTTAATGGTTCGAAGAAGTGACTTCAAGTAATTAGCTAGTGCAGACCATATTTTAAGTTACGAAATCAGGCACAAAAACATATTTTTTTTAAATAAACATACCTTTTTTCCAACGGATTTGGATTTCTAACCCCCAAAATAACAAGGGAAGCCGCAGACTGGGAAACATGGTCCCCACAGTTTGGTAAGGAGAGCAACTCAAAGTTTGAACCCCTTAATATTAATTTTACTTTTGGTGTATTTTGCTATATCTCAAAAACTTTGCAAGCGCATTGGGAAATTTTTGCACTCAATTATGTAATTCGTTTATTCAATGATAAAGTCCCATGTATAAAATTTGATTTCTCAAAAACTATTCGACCGATTTCGCCCAAATTTTGTATTTTACAGCGTAACATTATATTCTTTAAAGAGATGTTAAAAATTGTAAGCTTACAATTCAAAATTTTATCGACTTTTCTTAAATAAAATAATAAAAAATAAGAAATATTTACTAATGGTTATTTTTTATGGAATTATCTTTGGATAAGCAAATTTTATAATTGTGTACAAAAATTTTTTTAATTCGGTTGCAGATGCAATGTGGAAAACTTAGTTACAATAGTGATAAACTTAGAAACAAAACTTAGAAAATGAACGAAAATTTAGATCCTTTTGAGTGTTAATTTTATTTTTCGCATATTTCTCCATATAAATAAATAGCATTCCAGCAACCGCTTATGGGGATTAAGATTCAACAACTTCACGATCAAAGGCATGATCTTCACAATGTGGCTCGCAAGATCGAAATAATTCTGAAACTCTTTATAATTATTTATTATTATTAATCATTTAACTTAATAATTGACAAATAATTTCATTTGTAAGTTGAAAAAATTTTTACATTATTTTTAAATGCTTTGTTATGAATTATTAAATAGAACGAAATCATTTGAATACTGTTTGAGAAACGAAAATTTAAACATGCACCTTTTTTGAAATCTTACAAGTCATATACCATAAACGATTTTATTAATAATTTTCCTGACTGAACTATGGTGATCATTTTTCCTAGATTGTACCTCTTTATTTATATTTGAGGGTAAAAAAATCTGAATTCGACAAAAAAAGGTAATTTTGAATCGGAAAAAGAACTAAACTCAGTTGCTCGACAGCCCATACTGGGCCAAGGCCTACTGTGCCCATCTCAGTTTTCTTGACCATGGGCTCTGGGGGGCAGGAGCAGATGTTCCGGTTAAGTGGTCAGCCGAACGCGAAACCCCCAGTGATTAGTTCCCAAGCAAGCTTGGTACTCATTTATCGACCCCCTGAAAGGATGAAAGACGGAGTCAACCTCGCCCGGCCCGAGGATCGAACCCAGGACCTGTGGCAAGGGAGCGCAAAGCGCTATCACTCAGACACGTCTTATCTTAGGCTGTTTTATCTTAGTTCACAAAAGTTGGATCTCAAAATCAAATACTTTTTCACATTTCACTTAAAAGAAAGTATATGTTTAAATTTATTAATTATTACTTAATATTTTAAAGTGTTCTGTTACTTTTATTATATTTTTTTTGTGCACTGTCCATTATTTTTAAGGCATGGTTCTGACAGTTTAGTAAGAAAATTAAACTATATTTCATTTCATTAAAATTCCGTCTCTGAGCATTACTTTTTACAGATAAACTTTTCCATCAATAATTCGTATTGCTTGAACAATTCTATAAAATTTTTTCGCATTCTTTTTTTATACTTTACCTTCATTAGCAAATTTTTTGCACTCTGTATATTCTCCTTTAACACAAACTTGATTCTTTTTACAGTCGCTCGATGCTGTGCAACTCCCGCCAACACCAGAAACAGCCTAAAAAATGTAATATAGATATATTGTTTTTGAATTTGGTTTTGGTTACACCTTTAGAAATTTCTCGGAAAAAATGGTTAAATAACAATTTATTGAATGGTTATTTTAACATATTTATTCAAAACAGTCAAATAACCATCAATGAAATGGTAATCAAACTGTTAAGCTTGAGAAAAACTGTTTATTAACTGATTTCACCCAGTACGGTTAAGCAACCAGAATTTTACAGCACCCACTAGAACGAGAAGCTACTTAGTTCTTTGTAAATGCTTACATATCCTAGCCGAGAGGGCTTATCTGTCAATCTCATGACCGGCAGAACTGGAGTTCGAGTCCTAGTGTTGACACCTCACTATTTCCTCAATTCTCTTCAACACATGAAGAATTTCCAGTGTCCGGCACTCTCCAATTCCCATCACCTTACGAAAAGCCGACCTCCTATGTCTAGTTAAACAATATTTTTTTCTTACATTTTTGAAAAACGCTAGTTGTAAATGGTTTAAAAACCGTACCGTTTTGTATTCATGGTTTTATAAACATACTTTTAGGAAATGGTTTCAAAATCATAAAGGAAAAAAAATGTTCTTTACCGTAAACTTTACGGCTAATTGGATGGACAGACAGCTGCCAGTTATTTTAAAATGAAAATTTTAACAGTGTACATGATATTTGTGAGAAATATTTAATTCTTGTTTCCCGCAAGTAGTTGAAGCGATTGTAACAAAAACACAAATATTAGTAGAACCAAATTTTTGACAACTCTTCCGACTAAAACACTGTGTTCATATTTGCCTGGTAAGTGGAAAACCGATCATTTAATCAAAAGATCTAAGTGTGTGTTATGCCACAATAGGAATTCCTTCATTTTCGTGATTTTTTTTTAAATCATTCTTAATTGAATTAAATCAATTAGTTAATTGTTATTAAAATTTATAAAAAGCGAACTTAAAATATTTTATTCTGTTCTTGATGGATAATTTTTTATTTCAATACTAATGTAAGGCCCATTAATTCACTAAATCGATATCTAAAATCTACTTATAATTCTTTATTCCTTATTTCTTACCACAAATATGTTTCAGCTGCAAGGTTATACTAATTATCTCAGTCTTGTTGGCTATTCGCGATCACCAAATTATTTTTAAATCTAGTATTGGTTATGAGGGGTTGGCTTTATTTTTGGCGATGTTATCTTCGGATAAATCACCAACCTTGGCTCTCTTCCCATGCTTCTAACTGTCCATTGGGAGCAATTCATTCTTTTTCAATTTCCAATTTTTGGCAACTGGAGGTGCTCTGTTGGGCACCCCAGTCCCCTAGGTTAAATATAAAATGCTAACTAAAAATTCTCGATGTAAGATAATGTTTCACCTTGATCCCTTTAAGGGATTTCTTTCCTTTATCATTTTTATATTTTTAAATTATGGTCATTTTCAATAATTAATAAATTAATTTTCATTAAACGATTTTATTTATTTCTCTGAGACAATTATCATTTTATTAGATCCAAATAAAGATGTATCTGTAACGGCGAAAAAGTCAATAATGCTACTTGTACAAATTCACTAATTAATTTCAAACTATCACCGTCATTACAGTGTGATTAGGTATACTTACTTTGATTTAATTTATTTATATTTTTATCGGTATTCAAATGATTTGTGTTTTCCAAAAAAAAATTTTTTAAAAAATCGACCTCTGAAATTGGATTTTTTCTTTGGAAAAATGTATACCCAAGATTTGATTTTCATAAAAAGCTTTGATACGGTATCATAAAAGATACATAAAAACTTCTCTCTCTTTTGTATTCTCTCTACTTTTTTGAGAGAAATGAAGGTGATTTAAGGGAGAGAATTGAATTTCTTCTAGATAGTTGAGGGAAAGAATTGAATTTCGTATAGATAGTAGAGGGAAAAGAATTGAATTTCTTCTAGATAGTTAGGTAAGGCAATGTTTCTGATGTATTTTTTCCCTGGATCAAATGAGATTCACGGGACCATTGAAGGAATAGATTTACAGTTATAAGAGTCCTATGTACAACAAGTACAAATTTGTTCTTGTACAGGCTTACCGATCTGTTATGTGATCTTATGATTTGTTATCTAAACATTTTTTTTCTGTGCATTTCTTATGCTAATAGAATAAAACTATACACGAATCAATCGAACAAATTGTTCAAAATTTGGGAGAGCTTTTTTCTATAAAAAGCACTATTTTTGATGTGACAGAAGCGCACACTTTTTACTTCGCTAGGGACTATCCAGACAAATAAAGTTTATTTCCGATTGAGAAGTTATAACAGTTTCCTTTGTAATCATAGCATCCAAAATGACTGACCGAATAATTTTAATTTTATGAGAAAAAATTTCGAAGATAATTTTTCAAGCGCTGTTTTTATTAATATAATTAAGCGATACTTTCATTTTTGATTTTAAAAAAAGACGCCATATATAATTGACGAACCATCATCGAAAAGTTCTTCAGGCATAAAAAATCATCAAGAAAACGAAAATCAAAGCCTTAACCTAAAATTCAAGTAGAGTTCAAGAAATCGAAAGTCATCAATAATAAATAGTGTTTATTTAATATATTAAGGGTACTAATTGTAAAACACCCAGCTAAACTAAGTTCGATTTCTAGAAAAGTAGTAACATTATTTTTGCAGGAATGTGATATCTTAAATTAAACTTGCACTTTTTTTTATAATACAAGATTAATTTGTATAGGATTTTAAGTAAATTGTATTTTTTACTTGCTTTAATCGAAGTGGTATTATCTATTTAATCAAGAGACTCAATTCAAAATCCTCAGTTTTGAACTTCATTGTGATTACTACGAAAATTTAATTTCTTCCACAAAAATAGTTCCTTCTCAATATGTTGTATAATTTTTGAAAAATAAATTTAACAAACAGCTTTAGTTTTTCCTATTTTTATGTTAGGAAAAATATATTTTTAGGAATCAAGAGTCTGTTTTAAAGTTTCCCTTTCATGTCAATAAAAAAAAAAAATTTGTTGCATACAAATTATTAATTCCTTAACCTCTTTAAAGAATGAACACAGCATAAACAGATAACGCATGCGCAATTTACTTAAGAAATAATTTTTTTAATCAACATACTGCGATTATGTTTAATCCATTTGAAAAAATCTGAAATTAGAATACTCATTATAATTTTTTTATAAAGTCTGTCTGTAGAGGTTAAAGCTATTGTTCGAAGAGGTTAAATGAAAAATGAATTTTTTTATATCATTATAATTAATCTTTAAATTTTTCACTGAAATGATGATATTTATAACTTCTGAAAAATTATAGTTCTATCTGTTCTAAATTTCACTGGAAATTAATTACACGTTGTTTTTAAAAGTTATTCTCTGTTGAATCCATTAGTCAAGCGGACGCAAGTAAAATCACGTGGATAATTTTTATTACATAAGATATAACAAATTAGTAATTGGGCATAATATGAAAAAAGTACAACTACTTCCACTTACTAGGAATAACATTTAACTTTTAGTTTAATTAATAAACTGAGTTTTAAATATGCTTACTAAATTCATAAACTTCGGTAAAACAACAATATAAATTATTTCTAAAGGAACTAGATAAATACAATTCCAACCTGGTGAGTAGCGACTTATAACAAGACACTTCGTTTGATGCTTTTACTTGTTGCTAGAAATCAGGTTCGCAGAAAATGCTGTTTACTAGTTAAATTTAGTAGGAATAACACGATCTGTGACGTAGGCTATAGTATACCCAATTTGACAGCTATTGGAAATCACGTGCTTATATTGTTTTAAGTAACGTTTTTGAAACGATCTTCTACAAACATCAATTCGCGATCGCAACGCTCGAGTACGCCGTCTAGCGGGAGCCTGTAAATATCGGACATTAATTTATCACGTTTTCATTTAGTTCCATCTAAGTCATTGACTGAATCAGACGCCATTTTTTAGCAGCAAATAAGAAACAAAATTTCCCTATTATTCATTCGTATGTATATGAAAAAAATCTCCAGAATATTAGTAAATCTTTCAGGAACAGAACACGCCAAACATTTGAAGAAAAATTCCTCAATAATTTTTAATTTCTATTATCAACAAACTTGCAACTGATGACTTCCGATTTCGGATACTGTTACAGATGTGTGTATTAAGGTA